ATATATATATATATATGAAAAAGAGTATTAAATAATCACTATTTATTAAGTAATTAATGTGGCCAGAACGGCCCGTTTCGAATCCGGAACAGCTGTTCTGGACTCATTTCCCATACCAAAATTTGCTACCCAAAACGGCCGTTTCAAAATTGGAACGGCCCGTTCCCAAGGTGGAATGACCCGTTCTGAGTTCGCATATTGCTCATAAAATTCATTTTTGGAACGGGCCGTTCTGGGTTCCACTGCAAGCGAAAATACCCCAACATAATGGCCAATTATGCTTCCTCTGCTGCATGGCACAGGGGCATTTCCAAGTAAGCGAAAATTCTACGTGGCTTTCTTCTCTTTTCTTCGCTTTTGTGCGAGGACGGCCACGACGCCTCTCCTCCCTTTTCTTCGCCTTTTCGTCGTTGCAAATCACTGGAAACGAACACCCCTTTTCTTCGCCTTTCCTTCGTCGTGAATAGTAAATCCGTGAAAACAAAGAGGGGCTTAAAGAAGTTTTTTTTTGTGTGAGATCCATGTCAACATCTCTACACTTTCCATAAGTTTCTTCACCAAACAACACTCATTTTTTTCCAAAAAAAAAAGTACTCATTTTTTAATTTTCACACACTTTTCTTCTTTTTTACTTTCCTTTTTTCAAACATACCCTAATATTCATTTATTGATGGTTGAAAATATAATTTTGTCTTATAAATTTAATAAAATTATTTAACTTAATTACTTGTATAATTCGTGTGATTCGGTTAAAAATATTTTTTAATAAATATTTGAAGAAGTAAATTATTTATTATAAATTTAAAATATAATTTATTTATTTATTATAAAGTTTAATTATATTTATTTTTTCCTGTGTTTTCCTTTGTTGTTGGGTATTGTTATGTACTTTTTTTGTGATGCTCAATGATGACCAGATCAGCGTTCAGTTTAATCACGCGGATCTCAGGGGGGCACGTTGCTCCACCAAACCAAGTAGTCCCACCACTATGGATGCGTAAAATTCATTTTATTTTAAAAAACAAAAACTTAATGACAGTGTGAAAAGAAAAAGAAAAATTAAAAAGTCAGTCGTATCTCGCATTCCGCTGTCCAAATAAATCAAACTTGATCGCCAAGTCAAAAAAAATAAAAATAAAAAATAGGGCAAACCTGCCGAATCTCCGCATGATAAACGTATGGAAGGGTCATGACAGCGGCATAAAACACATTCCCATTTTCTTGGCTTTTCCATTCTCTCTCTTTCGCTTCCTCTTTCTCTCTGTTTTCCCTTCCCGGAATTTTGGACTCCTTGCCAAAATAAATAAATAATAATAAATGCCGAGTATCACTTTCTTCCACCGTTTTTCTAGAGCTTTCCGTGACAACCACTCGCATCTCAACCTTGTCCTGCTCTGCACTGCCGTAAGGTATAGCATAACTTCATTATTCTTCGCCTTCTTTCCGCTATTTTTTTCTTCATTTTTTGTTATCAGAATAAGAAAATACAATTACCGTTCATCTTCTCAGTTATCTGTTATGGAGGTGCTTGTTTCATCCTATTCCTGCTTTACAGCGAATTTCACAGTTTTGTTTAGTATATTTGTTTTAAAGTTAGATCCATGCATTGCAGTATATATGAAATATCTTTTTCGATGTCCAAATGTGGAAATATTCTCTGTTCGAATTTGCTACTTTAATCCTCTGTTTTAGTTTATCAATTTTATGGCGATTAATTTTCAAGTAAAATAAAAACACAGTGCGTTAATGTAGATCTATCATCTATCATCAAGGATTCAAGGTATATGATATATTTTGGTATATATATTTATGAATGGTTGGTGCAGTGGTGGTGGTCTTTTGGCTTATGGTGAGAATGTTGCACTTGCACCTGAAGAGGCAGTTACCGATAAGAAAAAGGTGGTGGTGCTAGGAACTGGTTGGGCGGCTACTAGTTTCTTGAAGGATCTGAAGAATCCAAAATATGAAGTTCAAGTGGTTTCGCCTCGTAACTATTTTGCGTTCACTCCTTTGCTGCCTAGCGTTACGTGCGGCACCGTCGAAGCACGCAGCATTGTTGAGCCAGTTCGCAATATTTTTAACAAGGTGATTTAAAAGGCCTTAAAACTTCTTGCAGTTTCGTCAATTTTTTATTTTTTATTTTTATGTGGCATTTCTACCTTTCGGCATGTTTATATGTTTTACTTGGCAGATAAAATATTTAGTAAGATTGTGCACACTTTTTAGTAAATAAAGTATATATTGCATGTTAATCGATATAAACAATGTAAATATGTAAGTTTTATAGAATTTAATTAAAATATATAGACACTTTAAACATTTTTTTTATATAATTATAATTTGTCTGAAAATATTTTTGACTTCTGTAATATTTACTTTTAAAGTTATATTTAAAATAATTTATTAGTGATCGTTAAAATAAAATACTGACGTATAAAAATTAAACTCGAATTTATATTATAAAATAAAATGTTAGTAACATGTTAAAACCATAAATATTAAAATAACAAAATAAAAATATTGTTAACACTTAAATATAAATACGTTTGTCTCTTATAACAGTGTTAAGAACAATTTAAATCTTTCAAGTATTATATTGTTGTGTCATTTTAATCTCTCAATTTTTAATTGAATAATTTTAGTCATAAAATATTATAATTATATGATTTTTTCTGTCAAGTATCATAATTAATATTTTCAACATGCATTTTATTTTCTTTATTTTAAAATACATATATTTAATATTTTCATTTTTAAAATGTGAAAATGTAGTTCTATTGTTAATTTGACGTCACCTAATTATCAAGTATTAATATGGACTTATGACATGTTATTACTTTAATAACATGATATTTAAAAATATAAAATTAAAAAGACATTCAGATTTAATAATAATATAAGTTAAATAAAAATATTTATATATATGTTTTTGATTTTTAAATTAAATGTGTTGTCAACTTTAAAAGTTTATTTAATTAAAAAATTTATTATTTGGAGAAGAGAAATCAAAAGAAAGGGAAGAAATACGTGAGAAATAATATAATGTAAAGTCTGTAAAAAAAATTGTAGTTGTTTGACTGAACAAGATTCAGTGAGAAATAGAAAAAAAAATTATATTTTATATAATTAAAATTTATATAAAAATAAATAATTTAAACACTAACGTTTTATTTTTGTCCATATTTTTACATATAGTATTTGATTTTTTTAAAAAATATAATATAGTAGTACATCGATTGTACTAACTGGTATAACCAATTATAATACACTATTTAGAATTTTTTTATTTTTTCACGCGACATGCTAATTGCATAATGGATTTTGTAACTTTACTATAATTTTAACATGTCACCATAATAAATTAGGATATGATCAAGAGCTGAGTTTATGAAGGGAATTATTTAAAAAAAAAAATTAATACTAATAAATTATATATTTAAAGTATGTATGCATGGAATTTTATGGTTATGCGATTAACTTTTAACACTTCCTAAACTATGGCTCAATTCATGCTAAAAACTAATTTATTATATTTTATTAAAAAAATTATCTTATATCAAAGGACACGGGATCATTATATAATATTAAGAAGCGCAGAATATTATATTTTATATATATTAAAAATTTAATTAAAGTAAATGAGTATGTTTACTAACTTCACAAATTATGATTGTGACTCTGTCACTAATTATAGTAATCTCTAGTATACAAATAACATGTTATGAATTATGATTCATATTTGATTTTATCCATCAAAAGCCCAAAAATGAAGCCTTAGTTAGAATATTTTTGTTATCAGAATTTCTGACTAATTATGTTTGTTTTCACTCTACCGATCACATTTTTGTTTAAATCATATCACCTTCCTCCCATTCTTGTTAATATAAGCTACTCTCCCCCCCTCCAACACACTGTTAGAGTATTAGTTTAGACTGTAAACATTATGTAAATAATGATTAAGCGGAAACAATCTTTAAATAATCAATAATCAATTTCTAGCCATCCAGCTACAAATATAAATTTAATTGGAGTGAAACCGAATTAAATCCTCTGAAGTAAAAAACATATAAATTTTTTAATAAAATAATTTTTTTCTTCTTTATATTACTAACGTAGTGAATTTTTTTTTCTTTTACAGGATTTTTATATTGTTTTCTCCTTTAACAAATATATATCTCGTACAAACGATAAAAAAAATGTCGTTACTAATATGCTCATAATTCATAATAAAGAGTATTTATTTAATACTATATATATATATATTACTAAATATTACACATTGGTGGAAGAGAAATATTAGGTATAAAATATTATCACTAAATATTTTAATTACTTCTAAAAATAAATATTAATTAAATTTTATACTTCTAATATAAAAATGTTCTTTTATTAAAATATTTTTATATTATGTTTCTTTAAGCATTTGTTTCTTCAAAAAGTACAGGGAATAGTTTATAAAGCAACTGCATTTCCGTTGAAATTTTTGGACACCAATTTTTTTTTTTTTTATTTTATATTTTTATATATATTCTGTGATATGAACAGAGCTCTGCTTAAGTGTCTTGTGACTCATGTCTGGATGCATTACGTGATTGTAAAATTTGTTTGCCTTCATCGTTCGTCCAGACAATAACATATTTCTCTTCGTACTATGATTGGTTTATGTTTAAACTAGCAAGATTGTAGTTCATAACGAATACGAAGGCAATGTTAGGCTTTCACAAGTTACTGTTAGGAGATGCAGATTCCGGTGATTAGATTTTTATTGAAATAATTTATACCATGTTTTCCACTAGCTTTATAGAAGATTCTGGATACGATGGCTATAACTAGGCCGTTTTTCTTGTGTTCTTTTGAGCAGAAAAAGGTGGACGTACAATTCAGTGAAGCAGAATGTTTCAGGATTGATGCAGAAAATCGGAAAGTTTACTGTCGATCTAGTGTGAACAATAATTTGAATGGGAAAGAAGAATTTGTCGTGGATTATGACTACCTAATAATCGCTGTGGGCGCTAATGTCAACACATTTAATACTCCAGGAGTGGTGGAGAATTGCCATTTTTTGAAGGTAACTTCATTCTCTTCCTTACTTTTATCATATTTAATAGTGTACAGGACTAAGAAGGAAGGGGTCAAATCTGTTGTGTTGCTATTTTGGATGGTAATTAAGGTATTCACTGGAGTTTATTTTTTTTTTTACATGCTTTGGATTTTAACTAACTCATGGATACGAGTGTGCAGGAAGTTGAAGATGCTCAAAAGATTAGAAGAACAGTTATTGATTGCTTCGAGAGAGCAAATTTGCCGGATGTAAGTGAAGATGAGAAGAAAAGAATTCTTCACTTTGCTATTGTTGGAGGTGGACCTACTGGAGTGGAGTTTGCAGCCTCACTTCATGATTTTATCAACGAGGATTTGGTCCGTTTATATCCTGGGATAAAAGATTTAGTTAAAATTACACTTCTGGAGGCTGGAGATCATATCTTGGGCATGTAAGCATGTGATATATTAACCATATATTTTACTTGTTAAGAACTTCCAATGATACCCTGTCATGTCATATAGTTTGCTATGTTTGTGAGTAGGCATTTTAAGGTATTTTATCAGTCCTGGGTTTTAACTACACGGGTTGGATGGCTTTGTTCCATGGAGGGTTTTTTGCACAATTTTTGATAGCTGAAAACCATTGTTTCATGGTTCAGCAAATGAGGAGGAATAGATCTAAAGTTTTCGCTGTTTCAATTGAACCAGACATGTTTACGTGGTAACCTAGTTAAATACAAACATTTCTCTTACAGTCACGTGCACATAGTAAATAAGACACATGCACATGTTTACACGTATAACCAAGATAAACACTAATAATCACTTATACTAAAGGAGTATTAATGGTTTAATCTTTTTTATTTAGTTTGTCCACTTGATATGTTTGATTGCTTTTCTCATAGGTTTGATAAGAGAATCACTGCTTTTGCTGAACAAAAGTTTCGTAGAGATGGGATTGATGTGAAAACAGGATCCATGGTTGTTAAGGTATCTGAGAAAGAAATTTCAACTAAAGAACTGAAAAATGGAGGAGAGGTTAAGACAATTCCGTATGGAATGGCTGTCTGGTCAACTGGTATTGGCACTCGTCCATTTATTAAAGATTTTATGACACAAATTGGTCAGGTGTGTTATATTGAGAAATTAGACACATTGCATATGTTGTGCCAATTCATAATTCCGTAGCATTTTTTTTCTTGTAGTTTGTATCTATCATTCAGAAAAGAAAATTTACAGTCATTTGTCATTCGCTCAACATTGTCTCTTCTTAACAGGCTAGCAGGCGTGCTCTAGCTACAGACGAATGGTTGAGAGTTGCAGGGTGCAACAATGTGTATGCGCTTGGTGATTGTGCTACGATAAACCAGCGAAAAGTCATGGTAATTAATACACTATTCCTATCATTATACGTAACTTGCTTCCTAGCATCTACATACACGTAAGAACTTGACATTGTTATTCATAGACTAATTAGTATCAATAATGCAATTTTTCATCTGGTTTTTATTTTGAAGTTTCGTTGTTCTGTTTTTTGTTAGACATATATTTAACTACTATGAAATAGAATCAAATTGCACATTTGCTTAATTGACAATCTAGAAGGCTGTATTAATTGACAATTATTCATTTCTATTCAACTGTTATCTTTCTGTTGATCGTGAATTGATTTTGACCCATTAGGAAGATATTGCGGTGATCTTTAAGAAAGCTGACAAAGACAATTCTGGAACACTTACGGTCAAAGAATTTCAAGAGGTCATGAAAGATATCTGTGAAAGATACCCTCAGGTTGAGCTATATCTGAAGAATAAACAGATGCGAGACATTGCTGATTTATTGAAGGAAGCCAAGGGAGATGATAAAAAAGAATCAACTGAACTGGATATCGAAGAACTGAAAACAGCACTTTCCAAAGTGGATTCTCAAATGAAATTTCTTCCTGCTACAGCCCAGGTTCATGTCCTATAATTTTCTTTGTGGCATTCACAGCAGTATTTACAAGTTATATGCTTATCAGTAATATGACATTGAATTTCTGAGAATTCATGACAGGTTGCATCTCAACAAGGCACTTACCTGGCCAAGTGTTTTAACCGGATGGAAGAGTGTGAAAAAAATCCCGAGGGTCCTCTCAGGTTCAGGGAAGATGGTCGCCATCGGTTCAAACCCTTTAGGTACAAATACCATACACGATGAAACTAACTCACAAGCTCTCACCTTTTGCCCAATTATGTTTACATTGATCCAGATTTCAAGGTTTTCTCGTCGATGTTTTACTCATTAGCAAATTGTTGATTGCTCCCCAAGGTACAAGCATTTAGGTCAGTTCGCTCCTTTGGGAGGAGAGCAGACAGCAGCCCAGCTTCCTGGAGATTGGGTTTCAATTGGCCATAGCAGTCAATGGCTGTGGTATTCTGTCTATGCAAGGTACTGTGCTCCTTTAAGCATTTTTTTACATTCTCGCAAAAGCTGCCTGAATTTTGGGACATTATTTCCCGCAAGTTATTTAGCTTGATTCAATCGTTTTTGCAGCAAGCAAGTAAGCTGGCGTACAAGAGCGTTAGTAGTTTCAGACTGGACAAGACGTTTTATTTTTGGAAGGGACTCAAGTAGCATTTGAGGGAACTTAACATCTTCCAGAGTCTTGCATTGGCGATGTAGCGGAGCTCGTTGATCATGAATTTCATATAGGAAAATTTTGTTTCATTTTAATTCCTTTAATTCTTTGAATAAGGAAGCAGACTCCCAGCTAGACTCAAAACAGCTGAGACATGCTCACCATTTTCGAACTCCCACTTTTTGTATTAGAGTCGTGGCATTAGTTGAATTTTGTTTTGAAGTGCTAGGTGTTGTTCTCCTCATACCCCATCATTCTTGTTTTTGATTAATATTTCTTTTCCTTTTTGCATTTTTCCAATTTGCTCATGGAATTGACTACAACTTAGTTGAATTTTTTGTAATTGGAAAATATTATATATTATGTCATTTTTATTCCTTCTTTCTTGCAAAATTTTATTTTTGGTTAATAAATCAACATATATTCCAAAACTCAATTCTCTATTTTTCCTAAAACGATAATGTAACAAAAAGTTATGAAGAAATTATGGGGAAATATTATTTCCATATGAAATTGTTGGGAGGAACAGGGAAGACTGAACGGTGTTTCTTGATATCAATATAGTAAGGAACGACTACAGTATTTGCAAGGTTATTATTAGATTAATAGTGATAAATAATGATTATAAGGAGGTCCAGTTTGTAGAAATATGTTTAAGAGGAAAAAGATACCTCCTCATGAATTAGAATATGCAATTTCAGTTCAATTAAAGGTTCTGGTAGATAGGCTTGGGACCCAGAAAACATAGATAAATGCTAGAGAATCGAGTACTGTTGTATGGAAATAGTAAGAAATGGAGGAAATTTGTTATATGCGTGCATTATAATTTTGTCCGATTGAAGACCATTGTTACATAGTTTTAGGTATGTTTGGTTTAAAGGATGAGAGAATAGAAAATAAATTTTACCGAAGGAGAAGAGAAAGGAGTTGGAAATTTTGTATGATTGAAAGGAGATGAGATAACTTTTTCTTATTTAATTTACAGGAGAAATTTTAAAAGTCAATTTTTTCTTTTTAAAATTTTTATAATTTTAAATTTAATAATAAAAATAATGATATGTTTAAATATTATACTAATAACATTTTAAAATCCTTCCACTCACTTCCAAATCCTCTTATTTTAGAGGTAAGCCAAAATTAAATGAGAATTAATTTTGTTCTTTTCTTCATAAAAATTAAACGAAAACAATTTTTTTTGTTAAATCTTTTACCTTCCATTCCTTCTAACTAATCATTATGTTAATGTTGTCGAATCTACGTATTAAAATCCTTTCTGTAGCCAAGCCACCATAACCAAAATAAGAATTGAAACTTGTCCCAGGTAGTTTTAAATTAATCTGAAGAAAGGTAGGCACGTGTGTTGGTCACCGTGGAAGCACAGGTACAACGACACAATATAAGAAATAATAAAATAGTTGTGATGATTCATTTGTATGTTGTCCTCCTCGGCATGTTTTATGTGGTGAACTGCACAACACAACTCGTAGTGGTGTTTAGAAAGTGAACATTATGCAGTGCACCAAGCACAATTCCCGGCAATTCCCCTTCAGTTCCCAAATGCACAAACTATAATTAAGAAAGGTCCACTTTTAAAGAACCGGAGCTATCCCCAGTAGTATCCAATCCAAGTGCTCCCCTTATGGGATTGATTCTTGATAGGTAAATGGACTCCACATTCATCCATCAACTCTCGTGTTGGCAATCCAATAAAGTTTCCCATTGCAGCAGTAAGAGGGAGGAGTCCCCTTGTAAGGTTCACGCCATTTATTTATATATTATTCAAGGTTAAATTGTAATTCTATTCCTCGTACTCGACTCTTTTGTTTCAGTATTTGCAAAAAATAAAAATAAACCTGTTTATTTTCTTTTATGAAAATTAAATTCAAACATTTTTATTTTTAAGTAAAGATAAAAAAAATTACAAAAATAATTATAATAAAGATTGAATTTATTTCTCCGTATTTCTAATTATTCAAATTCTTTCATTTGATTTCTCCAGTTCGACTTTGTCCAACAAAAAAAGAACTACTTCAACGAAAATATTTAGCCTTGTTGACGTAGGATATCTTCCCAGTTTGACCAATGGATTATGACCCCTAGGCACATGCGTTTCAGATTTTTCTTTTGTGCTGACCAATAAAAAGCTTTCTTTTTACGGTTGACCAATACAAGTTTCTCTCTTCTTTTTAGAGGTTATGCTGTTTTTTGTTTAAGGTTTAGGGTTTAGGGTTTAGCTTAGACAAGTCATGATCACCCTCTATTTCCCCGAAATAGTGCTTTCCTAATTACTAACTTTTTTTGTTTTTGTTTGTTTGTTTGTTTTTTTTTTAAGTAAAAGGTTATTTGGAAAGGAGTCAGTTTGGCATATTTAGCTTATATTTAAGGCAAGTCCTTTGATTATGCTTACTAAACCCTATTTAATGTCAACATGGTATTGTGTTAGGTTTTTTTTTTTTTTTTTTTTTTTTTTTTTTTTTTTTTTTTGTAGGATTGAAAGGGGCTATTCGCCCAAACTAAAAGCCACGAAAAAAGGATACTGCGAAAGCATCTGTTAACAGAGCTAAATGTAACCAGGCAGGAAGGGTATGGAAAATTTAGATACCCTCTAACAATGTCAACCCTCTCTTGGCTAAAACATCAGCCACTTGATTGGCCTCTCTGAACACATGCTTATAATTAACAAGAGATACGAAGTTAACAGTTATAACAGAATCTGACTCAACAAATAAGTCTCCAGATATTCTGATATCATGTGCAAGCTTGAGGCCATAGTAAACAGCCCAAAGCTCAGCTTGGACAACTGAACACAAACCAATCTTGCAGGAGAAGGCCACAACAAAGGATCCATGGTGATCACGAATGATTCCCCCACAAGCAGCTCCGGAACCAGCCACTACAGCCCCATCACAGTTCAATTTAAAGGCACCTGTAGGTGGTAAGGTCCAAGAGATATGACTGTGCAGTAAATTATAAACAACACCTTGATTTAGCTTAAGAGGAGAAGAGAAAGCCTGATTGATACAAGAAGTCCGAGCTTGAATCTGAACGACAAGACTAGAAACATTTGGATCTATATTACGGAAAACCACATTATTTCTCATAGTCCAAATAGCATCCAAAGCAACAGCAAACAAAATATCCCCCTGTTGAAGCAAATTCCACTCTAGCCACAACATCCAATTCATAGTAAAAAAATTTGTATGCAACCTGCCATTGAAAATGTTAATCCAAACACTCCTGGCCACGTTACAGTCACGCATAGCATGGATTAAAGTTTCTAACTCATCATGACAAACTGGACAAAGAGGATCCATTGTCATTCCTCTATGCATACGCAAGTCATTGGTTAAGAGACTGTTGTGAGCTAAGCGCCAAAGAAAGGTTTGTATCCGTTCAGGCCCTCTCCAATTCCAAAGTAGTTTGAATACCTTCTGACGCGAACTCACACCCACAGGACATAGAAACTCATATCCTTTTTTTAAGGAGAATTCACCGTCAGCTGCATTTTTCCAAGCTAAAACATCCTTATCTGGGCTAAGACCAGGAGCTGATTGTCCAAGGATGACATTAAAAATATCAGGAGGTAGTAAGTGCTCAATACTTGATAAGTTCCACTCACCAAATTGATCAACATAATCTGCAACATGTTTATTAATCTCCTGCATTGGTACAAAGTGATCTGCCTCAGAGATGAGCTTGGGAATGGCAGGAATCCAATGGTCAAACCAAAAGTTAGTGGAGCACCCATCACCAATCCGCCACACTAAGCCTTTTCTAAAAGGTTCCCACACACTACAGAGGCCCTTCCAAAAGTTAGAAGAATTGGCTTTCCTTCCAACAAAAGGAAGCAAATCATTTCCGCAGTTGTACTTGGATCTAACTACCTGAACCCACAACTTCTCTGGATGTGTACAAATCTGCCAACAATTCTTCATGCAGAAAAGAGAATTCAAGACTCTAGAGCTCCGCAAGCCAAGACCACCATCTAATTTAGGGGTGCAAATGACTGGCCACGACACAGCATGAACATGCCGCTGGTGAAGGACAGCAAGAATCAATTTGGTTAGAGTCAATCTGCCAGCAAAAGGCAAAGTACGAGCTTTCCAATTGCTCATCCTTCTATTAACTCTCTCCATAACTCCTTGGTAAGTAAACTTATTCACTCGTTTAGGTACTTCATGAATCATGATTGATTCACTCTTTTACAAATTTTTACATTATACGCACACAAAAAAGTTCATAGTTTTTTTTTTGTTTACATCTGCGCTAACGCAATTTGTAAGCAAACATATGCATAAGTACATAACACATCAAGATATGATAAAAAAAAATTATTTCAATCAACGGAACCAGTTTTAAATATATATATCTTTATGGAAATTTATCTGAATTATATAAGACATCATACCACTTGGATGTCTAATGTAACTTCCATGATGAAACACTAGGGAAATATATTCAATCATGCGCATTTGAGGAAAAACAATGGGTTGTTAAATGAGTAAAAGATTTGGGCTTGTGTTCGCAAATATGCAAATATAACGCCCTTCAGCTGATATATATATATATATATATATATATATATATATATAGATAACACCATGTTAATTTAAAAGCTAGAATCAAAGTTTTAAAATTAATTAATTAATTTGAAAACTTTTGCAGAAAATTGCACGGACTCAAATAAAGATCATGTATGAATTTAAATTTACGCAATTGAGAAAATTATGTATAATTAAATAGCTTTATTAAATGTAATTACTCTCTAATGAGTAATTGAATGAGCATTAATTATTAATTCCGTTATGTATTTTGTGAATTTATTATTTTAAATACACACATGAATAAATCGTGTTTAATAATATATATTAGATTTTTTTAATATAATTACAAGTATTAGAGAATACATATAAAATAAGAAAAAATATATATATTTAAAATTTTAGTAATTGGTAACAAAAATATTAATTATCATATAAAAAAAATATAATTATTAAAGACTTTTAATTTGCAAAATTTTAAAAATTAATTTTAATTGATGAAATAACTAATTATGATTTGAATGTGTAATTTTAATAGATAAAAAAAATTAAATTAAATTATAAAATTTCGAATATTAAATAAAATTTAAATAATAAAGGATCTTTGCTCGATTATTAATTAAAAATCTTCATATATATATATATATATATATGAGGAGGGATCCTTTTATTCCAAGAGTAAGTCTACCTAGACTTACTCCATTTAATAACTCATGTTCTACATTAAATTTTAACGATCCAACTGTTCAATTTAAAGTTCTTAATGAAACGATTTTATGATTATTTATCAATTTGAATTAATGAAACGAAGTATTAAA